TATTTAGGTCTTTAATCCATGGGATGTTATTTTTAAAAAGGAAAAATGAATACATGTATTTCATATACATGACATATGTATACGTGTGCATGCACACACATATGCACACATACACATACATAAAACACGCCTGAGAGAAAGAATATAAACTGTAACACTAGTTGCCTCAAGGGATGAAACTTGTGTGGCTGGGAGACAGGGATGGGAAGGACTCTTTTCAGTGTACATCTTTTTCTATCCTTTCAATGTAGATATTCTCTCAAATTTTTAACTACACAAACATGTCTTCTATTTCTAAATAAAGTTGCAGAAAAAAATAACAGGCTTGGCTTGAAATATTAAGGGACAACTAGTGGTCTTTTACAGTTAATTCTTTAAAAGGGGTTAGGTGATTTATCAAATGACACAAAACTAGTATGCAAGCAATATAGGATCAGAACCTAGGTTTGACTGGGGTCTCTCATACAAGTTGCTTATGAGTAAAGGAAAACACGACTCTTCATACAAATAAATCATAAGTTCAAAACTCCATTTTGGTGTGGATGCAGTGAAAACAGCAATTAACTTGCTAGAAGAGACATGACTTGGTTTCACTCTGGGGAGCAATCTGGCAGTCCTTAAAGAAGCTTAAAGGTGTTCACAGCCAGGTGAATACATTATTGAAAGAATACAGGGAAGATTTATCTCAAGTATCAAACCTAAACATACAAGTTTGTATTTACATTAAAAGATTGTGATGAAATAGATCAGTGGAACAAAACTGTAACATAGACCAGGAATAGACTTAAAGGTGTTATCTCCAATTTTGGGGTGGGGGAGTAGTAGTGGGGAAGGATGGATAATCCAAAAAATAAAGTTGAGACAAGTTAATCACTGGTTAAAAAGTCAGACACACACCATACATCAGATAATGGATCAATTAAATGTTCAAAAGAAAAAAGTACTAGAAGAATGAAGTTTGACTAGCTATAAACAAAAATTGCACATCAGATTTGAAAACAAATGTGACAAGTCAGTACTTTAAAACATGAAATCTTATGGGCCATGTTGGTGGGAATGCAAAATGGTTCAGCCTCTATGGAGAACAGTAGAAGTCCCTCAAAAAATTAAAAATAGAACTACCATAGTTCGATCCAGCAATCCTACTTCTGAATATTTATTCCAAAGAGTGGAAATCAGAATTCTGAAGAGATTAGCACTCCATGTTAACTGAAGCATTATTCACAATAGCCAAGATGTGAGAACAACCTGATGTTCATCTATAGAATGAATAAAGAAACTGTAGTATATAATGGAGTATTATTCAGACTGTAGAAATGAATTCCTACAATATGTGACAACATGGATGAAACTTGAGAATGCTATGCTAAGCGAAATAAGCCAAACACGGAAGTACAAATACAGCATGATTTCTTCTGAGGTATCTAAAACAATCAACTCACAGAAGCAGAGTAGAATGGTGGCTGCCAGGGACTAGGGGTAGGGAAAATGGGGGAGCTAATTAATAGACATGTTTTAGTTAATCAAGATGAAGTTCTAGAGATGTGCTGTAAATATTGTGCCTGTAGATATTATACATTTACAAGTCTGTTAAGAGAGTAATCTCATGTTGTGTTCCTACCACAATAAATTAAAAATGAAAAAACTCTCACAATCCCACTTCTTTAAAAATTTTTTTGTGAAACATACTTTCTGGAATAGGAGAAAAACCATAATCTTAATGGAATATTTATACCACATAACAGCTCCCTGGTAATTTTAATTTTACTCTCAATTTCCCAAACTTTGTGTTGAATAGTGGTTAAGTCAGACACACTTTAAGTTCAATTCCAAACTGTACCTTAAAATTTGTGTTACCTTGAGCAAGTTACTGTTATCTGCCTACAACTTTCACCTACGAGGCAAGGTGTATCTGCATCTCAGGATTGCTATTACATGCAATTAAGCCAGATTACATGCTTAGAACAGTGCCAGGCAAGTGTTTAAAAATGGGAGCATTAAGAAAACCCTGGAATTTTACCTGTTTGCCTCTCATTTTTTGTTGAGCAAATGGTATATGTCAACATACTGTTCTACAACTTGTTACATACCAACACTTATTTTTGACCTAAAATTTCTCATCATAATTTTTAATCCCCATTATCTCACAACCTAAAATTTATTTAGCACTTCTGCTAAATAAGCATCATAGAACCGCCAATGTGGTACCAAAAAATTCTCCCATTTTTCTTATTAGATTATGGATGGAGTCCTGAATTTTACCAGGTTAATTTCAAGGATGAGCCGAGGTCTTAAACTGTCTTAGATACCAAAGCTCATTTGCTTGGGTTTTCAAAAACAGATTGGAGAGTACTGGTAAAGCCATGGCCTTTGAACTAAATTCCTAACTCTGCAATTTACTAGTCAACATGGCCTTGAATAAGTTTCCTCATCTCAGAATTTGGAGACAATTTTCTCATTGGTAAAAGGACATCTATGCTTATGTTATTATCATGTGCATGTTATTTAGTCAGGTTGAGCACAGTATGAAACTGATGACCCACTTGGTTGCTATAAAAAGTGTGCTTAATCATAATTTTATATTCAAATATGACAAAAACTAAGCCTTAGTACCTCAAATGGGATTAACACATAAAGTATAAATACACATACAATTTTTCCTGATGGGGACATCAAAGTTTAGACCATTATTCCACACATTTACAATCTCATTTTAGACTTCAATTCCTCAAAATACAAGAAAACAACTTTCAAGACATGATCATGGGACTGGTTTACACTAAATTAATTTCAGACAAAATAGGTGGTAGCTTGAGTAGCAGTTTAGAAGTTGGTAATCACATCTGGTACAGCACTGCCTGGGTTCAAAACTTTAACTCTACCTAGCTGCCAAACTTGGTATCAAGCTATTTAGCAGAAGCCATCTTCTGGAGGTGGACTGCCTGCATCCAAATCCTGCCTTTGCCATATCCTAGAGTTGACTTTTTAATCCCTGTGCCGCACCTTCCTCGTCTGCAAAATGAGTATGACAGTACCCAGCTCAGAGTTGTTGAAAGATTAAATCAACTGATACAAAGTACCTACAACAGCACATAGTACTTAAAAAATAAATGCTCAAGTGTTAGCTATAATTACCAGACAATGCCTACCCCAGCATAGAAGGCTCATTCTATAACTATTTTGCTTTGCTCTAGACTTTTTACAGTTAAACTGTGTGGTACTGTCTTAAAAACTGAAACTGTTTGTTAAATTTTTCTATATATAATTTAAGGAACAAGACCTAAGACATTCAGTTCCATAAACGAACTGTACTTCAATATGAGCTGTTATGTAGACTGTTGCTACTTGACTTTAAAAAAAGGTGTAATTCTATGGCCTTGTTATTTACACATTCACCACATGTGGGTTTCAAAATTAACGCCAACTCAGATTCTTCATTCAGGAAACCCCTTTGAATATTGCTCTCTATATTCTGAGCTTAATCCTCTATTCCCTATGTATGTTAGGGAACGCTGTTGCTCCTCTGGTAAGCAATTAGACAATTATCTGTATGTAATAAAGCTTAATTCAATGTGAAAAATTGAAGACCTCATTTCCCAGAATTCTCTGGTTACTTAAAAAAAGCATGAACTAGAGAACCGTAAAACCATCTTAAATTACTAAATAAAGATTAACCGTTTATTTATATATCTTTATTTGGTAATGTTTTATCAGCACAGTGAAAGTAAATTTTAGAGATACTGGATGTCATTAGGTTGGTTATTATTAGTTTATTATAAAAGACATGGAAATTATTTACATGATGAGATTTCAGAACTTCAGTGGAATGGGCAGCTTCATGTCATGCCATTTCAACAGCGATTTCAGTCTACATACTTTCCAAGAATGTCACCATCTCTAAATAAGAAATAATCCTTGTCATCTAAAACTACTTTGGTGCCTCCATATTCTGGGAGAAGAACTTTATCTCCAACCTTCACGCTAACTGGTTGAATCTCTCCACCCTAAGAATAAAATGTGGTTATTAGCAAACACATCTAGTTCATCAAATATTCACAACTAAATCAATGTTGAGTACTCAAAACAACTGTTAAAAAAAGGACCCAGTGACCAAATGATATAATTTATACTGCGATTGTAGTTCTTCACTCAAAAATTTCACAGAATTTCTCTCTGAAATGATGCACATACAGTGGCTTAAACTAAAACCCATTTTGGTGTAAAGTTCAAAGAGTTATAATGGGAAAGCTAACTTTTTGACTGTTAAATATTAACATAACCTACCATCTATGTGAAATAAACCAGTTTTTAAAATCATATACAAAAATTTAGGAGAAGTTTCCTGAATTTGGAATATATAGTTACTTTTTGATTCATTTAACTTTCCTCCAAAATACAGATTTGGGAAGAGGGTCTAAAGCATAGTGTCCATAGGTCTAAAGCCTTCCTATTTGTGACTCCAGGATAGCTCCTTCCTAAGATTTTCTTAGAGGTAACTGTAACAATGCACTGAACATATTTGACCCCAAGGGTATTTATGGCATATTCTGGCTGACACTTTTAGAAGTGTGAGGTCTAACCAGTTAATTGGAGAATAACTGGAGGGGCAGTCATACCCTTCCTTTCATAGGTATGCCAACTAAGGCCAAAAGGATTAGGCAAATTTAGTATGTTAGAAGTGGATCAGGAGTTCAAATTTCCCTTCCATTCTTAAAAGACTGTGCAGATTATCTTTAAGAAAAAAAATTTTTAATCAAAACTTTAGAATTTGAAGAAAATGCTGGTCATACTTCGCTACCGATTACTCTGGAGCTCCCCAATAAAAAAAATAAGAATTTCTATTTTACAATCATTTTCGTTAGAGAGGCAGATTACATGCGACTGAACTAAGGCTTAAGTAAACATACGATTTAAGAAACTATTTTTTAGTAATAATCAAATATTTTTTTTTACCCCTCCAATTCACATAAAAGAAGAGTCACATTTTAGCCTCCATTTACCTTTCCTTTGGAGCCCGATCCAACAGCTACTACTGTCGCTTGCAACACTTTTCCTTGAGATTTTTCTGGAAGCATTATGCCTCCCTTGGTTACAGTTTCAGCGGCACTCCTCTCAACTAGCACTCGGTCAAAGAGGGGAAGAAACTTTCTAAATGCCTGTCCTGCCTGTGGGGAGAGAAACATTAGACTTCAAACAAAAACAGTGTGTAACTGTATATACTAAACGTTACACATTCACCGCCACATGTGGGTTTCAAAATGAACGCCAGAACTCAGATACTGCATTCAGGAAATACCTTTAAATAATGCTCTCTATATTCCGAGCTTAATCTTCCATTCCCTATGTACGTTAGGGACGCTGTTGCTCCTCTGGTCAGCAGACAAGGTTTCAGGGCAACCTTGGGTTATTCCAAGGTCAAATATTTTCCCTGTTCAAGTTTTTCCGTAATTTCTCAACAAACACTTAAGTCAATCGTTCAGTCCGGAGCCACGCTTTCAAGACACTACACACCCACAAAAGCCTCGCAGAAGCAGTGAGTCGACTGCAGCGCGTGCGTCCGGGTTCCCGCCCACTGGCTCTGTCGCCTAACACGCGTGCATAGAGCCTTCCACGGAGGTACGGGTCTTCGGGGCCTCTCCTCTCCAGGGTTCGAAGAGGGGCGGGCCTCAGAATGACCCCTACCTTTCCTCTAGAGCCAAAGAGCCCTCGGGGCTCCCCGCGCACCTCCGACCTACCCGAGCCCACCGGCCACCAGCCCACACGGTACTCACCATGACTGCGACTGCCGCAGTTAATCCGCTGCCGCGCCACAGCAACTAGACCTACAGCCCAGCCTGCGCGACACGTGAAGGTGGAAAAAGGCCGCGCAGCGCGCAGGCGCTCTCCTCCCCACCCTCCGCCCCTCCCCGCAAGAGAGGGCGGACGCAGCAGCGCGCCCCGCGATTCGTCCGCAAGGTTGTGCGCGGGCCACTGACGCGAGGACTGGGGGCCGGAAGAAAAGAGCAGCTCTTCTAGGCTTTTCTAGGCCGCTTGCCGAGGTGAGAGTACTGGCCCTTCGCCCCCCTTCCGGAAATGACGCTTTCGACCCTTGACCCACAGAGAGCGCGGCGTATCCCGGAAAGTTCTGGAAGCGAGCGCAGCCCGGGAACTAGCCTAAGCTGGCCAGAGAAGGCTGAGCCGCAGGCCTGGCCTGGGAGGATAGGGAGGGGCGGGGCTGGCGCGCGACGCGTGCCGATTGCCGGGCCGGAGCCGAAGGAAAGTGGGTGGGAGCCGCCCGCGCACGCTGTGCCGCGGGGCGGGGTGAAGCGGCGGAGGGAGGAGACACGGGTTCATTGCCGTGTGCGCCTTGCGCTCTGTCCCTCACTCTCTTCCAACGGTCCGCCTTGTGTCTGCACGACAGGCTTCTGCCCCGCAGGTACGCGGCCGCCCCCCCGCCGCCTCACCCAGGTGCCTCGTATCCCCGAGTCTGCCTTTCCCCGTTGCAGTTCTGACTGGGTGGGCTGGAAGACGAGAGCCAGGGCTTCCCCCCGGCGCCGCAGATCGGCCCTACAGGGCCAGGCCTCGCCGATCCTTCTGGGGCCCATCACGTGCGCCATTGATTGCTTCTCCGGGTTGGGCGCGGGAGGCAGGGCTTGCTCGAGAGTGTTTGTGGAATCAGGGGAGTGTATTCGCTTGGGCTCTCTGATGCAACCCACTGCTGGCCGATTGCATGGCGCCGGGGAGGGTGGTCGCAGCCGCGTGGGAACCGCCTTCGGCCCTGCGGACACCTGGAGTATGAGCCTCCCTTTTTGACCTTGAGTCGTCCAGATGGATTCACGTGGGGCCACGCGGAGTGGGCCGAGCCGCAACTCCCCAGCATCGCGGCGTAGCGGGCTCCTCTGATACTGTAACCCCAGGTGGATACGTGAAGGGAAGACACATTTTATTAAGCGGATTTTTGCACCGTCACGAATTTTTAACTGTCCTGGTCACCCGGGTGTACAACCCGCCCCTTTCCTGCAGACTTGGATTTTCGGGGACATGTTTGGAGTGAGTTTGCTCTTTAGGCAATTTTAGCGATGAAAGATTAACTCGTTTTTAGAGGCATGGGTAGGCGGCCCTGGGGAAGAAGGTGAGTGTTCCTTGTGCTAGTGCTGCATGTCAGGCGTTGGGGCAACCTCCTCCTGCAATCTTGTGCTACTAGTAAGCTGGCCCAGGTGTAGAGGCTGGCAGATGTCAACCCAGCTCACGTCCAACATTTCATGTTGCTATTTGTTGCATAGGTGTCATGTTTGTGTTGTATCGCACGACGGGATAGTGCTAATGTTCATGGACTGATTATCGGCGTTTTCTTCTTCTATCCCGCAGAAATGCTTCGATTACCTGCAGTCCTTCGCCAGATTAGGCCAGTGTCCAGGGCACTGGCTCCTCATCTTACTCGGGCTTATGCCAAAGATGTAAAATTTGGTGCAGATGCCCGAGCCTTAATGCTTCAAGGTGTAGACCTTCTAGCCGATGCTGTAGCCGTTACTATGGGTCCAAAGGTATCAGCTAGTCCTACTTTGTTGTAATTTATGGTGTTAATTAAGGAATAACATTTTACTGTATCAAATAGTCACGCTGAACTATTGAACAGTTTTCCGGTATGCACTTCTGAGAGAACCCAGTTTACATGTAAGAGTTCTAAATTATTGGAAATATTTTTTCTTCCTTTTGCTTAGATATAATGGCCTTAAAATAAACTGTTCAAAAAGTTTGCGAAACCTTATTTTGTAAAACGTGTGATGTAATCCGGTGGTAACTTCGGTGTAGCTCAAGGTGTATTTTTAACCTAAGGTAGAATTAAACTCGCTTGCTTGCTTGAGTTAAGTTTTGGACTCTTTCCCAGCAGTTAGTACCAAGACTAGAGGGAAAGATTAATTACCTCCTATAATACCTCAAATGTGCTTTTAGATGCTAGTTTTATCTTTTTGTTGTTGTTCTAAAGCACATTTAACATTTTAAGTCTTGTTTTACATGAGATTGAATAAGGGGTAGTAAGTTGAGGCCTTTGAGGTGGTGCACAGCTGAGTGATGACTTGATTTCAGGTTGAAGACAGTTCAAAGTGATTCAAACTATATAAAATACAGCATTTGCATGCCTCCTCACAAGTAACAATATTGGTTCAAATCCAAAAGCTGCCATTATTTGTATCATGTTTGAGATTTAATGTTGACAAGTCTTGGAAGAGTACACTGTGAATGCCTTGTAGTTAGTATTTTAGTAACTACTTACAAAGCAAGTTTTAAAATTTAGTTTTCACTTTACTTTGAAAGATAACAGTGAAAGATAACAGGTTCTGAACAGAACTTAAGTACACATTGTGTGAAGAATATCCTGGTATATCATTACAGTATATCAAATTGGTATGGGTTTACCTTGTGTGTTTTGAAGATGTCATCTTTTAGTCTCTTGAGTTTTTATCTCCCACAATACCTCATCTAAAGTCACACACTTGGCATAAAAAGGTTATTTTGTCTCTAAACAAAGAACATTGATGAACTTTATAATTTGAGGAGGCGTTTGAGATGGTGCACATTTGAGTGATGCTGCAGATCTGATGAAAACAACTTGTGTTGAGACTTTCAAGTAATTGCCCAGTTATAAAAACTGCTTATTCTGTTGTAAGCTAAGTTGTACTTAAGAGTGTGTGGTTGTATCACATTTCTTTCTTGGCAATTACAGGGAAGAACAGTGATTATTGAACAGAGTTGGGGAAGTCCCAAAGTAACAAAAGATGGTGTGACTGTTGCAAAGTCCATTGACTTAAAAGATAAATACAAAAATATTGGCGCCAAACTTGTTCAAGATGTTGCCAATAATACAAATGAAGAGGCTGGTGATGGTACCACTACTGCTACTGTGCTGGCACGCTCTATTGCCAAGGAAGGCTTCGAGAAGATCAGCAAAGGTGCTAATCCAGTGGAAATCAGGAGAGGTAGGACTGCTTCTTTGATGTCACCAGTGTTTTGAGTTACCAATTAAATTATACAAAAAAGTTGGTTGATTCTTATTTCTCCTCCTAAAAAAAATCTTACACTGAGTTTTATTTCAGCAAATAGTGATTAAGTACCTGGCCATGTAGTGGGCACTATGCTGAGTGTTAAGGAGGAAAATATGACAGACATTACCTGTTGTACTCCTGTCCTATGTCTCCCTCATCTTATTTCCCCCTCTCCCCAAATGTAATTTGAAAATAGTATGGTAGCAAGGATTACAGCAAAGAGATTATATACAGTTGATCTTTTACTTTAGTTACTTGGAAAGTAGAACTAACCAAGAAACTAAGTCACTCAAGATGTCAGAGAGGTATGGGGTGGGTCTTTTTTTTTTTTTTTTAAGCAGTTTGTTTTTTACCCCATCACAGCACATAATGTGGTAGTGGTCTGCTTTTTGTTTTGGCAATCTAGACCACAATTTAAATATCTGCTCCTTAGCATGAGGTTCATGGTGATACAGACTTAAGTCCTGTCATTGTCATATATTGGATATGTGCTAAAACTTGGTTTTCCTATCTTGAAAATAGAGTTGCAGTGTATGTCTAGGGTGTGTCATGGTCCAACCTAGGAGACTTGAGAGTGAAGGGGGATGTGATTAATAATTTTGAATTGGCTTCCCAGGATTACTGACAAGCATCATCCCATCTATTTCAGTTTTTGAGGCCCAAACGAACGTGTTGCATGCACTAAAGGCAGTTTAACTGTACATCACTGACAAGTATTAATTGAGGTTGTTAGGATTACTTCCCAAAGAAGGTGATTGTTACTACGCACCTTGCTTTGCACTTTTTCTTGACTTGACATTTCTCAAAGGAAGAGCTAGCACTGGTCTCAGTTGAACAAAATGGGGTTCTCATAAACCCATTTTACAGTGCTGTTGTTGACTGTTAAAACAAAAAATACTTGACTAGTTTGTAATTATGTATTAAGTAAGAACATTTCAGATAATTGAAAACTGGAGGAGCAGAGCCACAAGAAGTTTCTTATCCTTGAGAATTACCCTTATTGAAAGTAAAGGACTATAATACACTGTGTTTCTTTTTTGTATCATTCAGTTTTGGAGAGAAGTATTGGGTGGCACTGTTAGAAACATGCAACATGATTGGATTGAGGATTAACATAGAATGAGGTGAATGGTGAGAGTCTTGAAATTGTACACCTAGGTTTTTTTCACAGTCGAATTTTCAAAATAATTTTGGCATTGTAAGACTTTATTCGAGTTCGTGCTTCAGTGCCTGCCACCCAACTCCATGTGGTTAGGAAAAGTATTGGTATAGAAGAAGTGTATAGGCTGTGTGAAACCTTATGAATGAGAGTTTTTATTTGATGTGGAACTGTAACAGAATAATAAGCATTGTAATGGCATTTATTCTTGAACCAGGTGTGATGTTAGCTGTTGATGCTGTAATTACTGAACTTAAGAAACAATCTAAACCTGTGACAACCCCTGAAGAAATTGCTCAAGTAAGGGTTTTTTTTAGTATTTTATGATTAAGTTTAAAAATTTTTTAGGAGCATGTGATTTTATTCCATAATCACATTCCAAGGTCAGAATAACAGTATTACCCAATTGCCAACATTGGAAGAGTTTTTCTTACTGCTAAAACATTGAAAATGATGCAGTGGCCATAATTCAAAAGTTTTAATAGGCTGCCATTTTTCTTCATGGCTGTAAAACTTGCTTATATGTGTGGAAAGTGTTCTTTGGCCATTTGTCAAAGGTACAGAACTTTTGTCATGTTGCAATATTGTCACTTGCCAAGAGGAAAAAAAACAGTGGGGGCAATGTCTCCCTCCCTTTTTCAACTGTTCGTTTTATTTTGTATCTTTCAAAAATAATGTAGCCAAGTAATGAATTGGAAACAGAACCAATACTTCATTAAAACTATTATATCATAGAGTCCACTTCC